GATTTAGAAAGCAGTAAGCAGAAGCAAAAGTTAATGGAGCTGGAGCTTAAAGCAGCAGCAGCAGCACTGAAGCTTTTTGCAGCAAGTTTAGCTTAAATTACTTCCTTAATTCTACTATCAGGATAGGTCCCCCAAAAAATTTTCTTTAATTCTGGTCCCTTTTCCCCCTACGAAATGCCACCTATTCTAAACTAGTCTTTGGCCGCTAATTTTCCCAATTTTTTTTCTTTAAATATGGTCCCTTTTATTGATCTGGTGCTCGGATTAGTCTCAATAGTAAGGAGATGTAGAGAGAGAGACATGTCATTATTGGCACTGGCATTCCTGCGACTGCTGCTTTGCCCATGCTTCGTCTGGTACAGTCTTCATACTTTTGCAACTATCCTGATCGAATAGTCGGGCAAATGCTGGCAAGCAGCTTCAGTATACATCACTGTATGGTAATCTTGGCTTTCTGAGGGCTGCCAAAACTCGTCTAGGCAGGAGTTACGGAGAAGAAGTAATTACCTAGATTGCGGGGCTTGCCCGTCAGTTCATCAAGACGTTTGGCAATGGAGGCACGCTGGCTGCCAGTGCTTACATCCCCCAAGGCTGGCAAGGACATGGGGATAATGGAAAAGAAAATGGAAACTACTGTAATACTAAGGTTATATTGGGGTTATATAAGGATAATGGAAAAGAAAATGGAAACTTCTGTGATACTAAGGTTATAGTGGGGTTATATAAGGATAATGGAAAAGACAATGGAGACTGATATATATATATATAATGGGCTATACAGGGTTTCCCAAAATTAGGGGCATCTTTTCGGGCGGTCCCCATGATAGGAGTATCCGGGTCCAACTAGTTATGGAAACTACCTTGTAGTTGCTGATGAAGGGCGCATGATGTGGTGGAGGTGGTGGCTGTAGCTGTAACAACAGAGACTCGTATACATTGGGCTTCTTCACGCTCTCAGTTGAAGAGAACGAAGACATGCAAGGAGTAGTGGACGTGAAACGACAAAGTGCCCGGACTCATGTAGTATAAGAAGCACACAAGAGAATAGCGCGTTACGCAGGCTAGGGTTCCGGTGGCAAGTGGAATTCTTCATGGCCCGGTCGCACGCACAGTAACAACATAGAGAGGGCTCTCAAACTGTGGATGCCGCTGTCGTTCTGTGCACAACAAATGCGGGCTACGTATGTTTGCCAGTTTGATATCCTGACCTTACTCACCTGTCACTTATATCACTCCAGACATACACTCCGAGAAGCAACACATCGGATGCAAAGCAGACACCGAAACCCGATGTACACATATAATCCCCTACTAACCCTAAACCCAATATATCTCTAACTTAAAAATATCCCCTATTGACGCTAAACCCTATATATGCATATATATATACACCCTATGTATATTCACATAATTTATATAGTTCCCCCCTACTGATCCTAAACGCTGTATGTATTTACATAGTTTAGATCATGCCCCTGACTAATCCTACACCCTACATGGATTTACATATATTATATAATGCCCCCTACTAATCCTGAATACTATATGTATTTACGTGATTTATATAATGCCCGCTACTAATCCTAAACCCTATATGTATACATATATTTTTGAGTACCCCCTACTTCCGCCCAAGCTCGCCTCAACGGCTTTGCTGGCAAGCTCTGTGTTGGCAAACTGGACCTTGCCTGGACTACGGTAGGTTCGGTATGGGGTTTGGGCTTAGGGTTTCGGGGTTAGGGTTTAGGGCTATATAGAGGTATAATGGAAAAGAAAATGGAAACTAGTATAGGATTTAGGGCTTTGGGTTTAGGGTTACATAGTAATAATGGAAAAGAAAACGCAAACTACTGTAGTATTTAGGGTTTAGGATTTAGGGTGTTATGGCTTTACAAGGTTTAAATAGGGATTTAGAGTAACAAGAATTAACAAACATTTTCAAGCCTACCCCTGTGGAGGCAAGCTTGATCTTCTGGCCAATAGCTTACTGGTGCTTAGTAAGGATTAAGGGAATACTTCATATGGCCTATAGTCTACACTCCTCGTATCCTCCTTAATAAGCTCTTTCAATTGTCCCCTATAAACCCCTGTATAACCCCCTTTAAGGAGTTTAGACTGTTGCTCNNCTTATTCCCTGCTAACCACCGGTAATATAGAGAGTGCCGGGTTCAGCTGAAGTTGCACTGCTAAATTGTCAGTCAGGTGTCAAACCCACAATCTGGCAGCTGCTCAACATTTTGACTGTTTGTGCTAGGCAAAGAAAAACCAAGCTGTAAGTGGATGCGGTCAACTTCTATGTACTATTATAGACAACACTAGTGGCTTGACAAAAAGAGCTAGTTCGCACATGAACAATTATGGCCCTTTCCGCCTGAGCCCTTGGACTTTCCCGTGTCTTTGTTGGTGAACACCGCAGCATAGGTGACCTGGCCGCATCAACAGTAAAGGGAGGGGATCATCTGTCAAAGCTGCCCTTGGGCCCAGCAAGGTCCTGTAACAGGAGCCTCTAACCGACAACCGCACTATCCTTCTGGCCTTGTGCTCGTAGGATTTTGCATGAGGGTTTCTCAGGATTGCCGCATTTTCGATCACTACTTTACCAGCATGACCCAACCACTGCACTCTAAACCAACAGTGCGAGAGTTTTATGTCGCCAGGCGTTGGGGAATAGGCTACAGGGCATTACGTTCACGGACTGCTATAGCGATCTTCTTACCCATCCCAGAATAAGTATGAAAAAGATGACACATGCAAAAGCAAGACAAGCAACAGCAACTGTAAAGCAGCTGCCTATGCACCTTCTAGCAATACTGACATAAAAACCAGCGCCAACGCAATAGAAATGAACATGACGACACCATAACAAACTTCATGATGATGAGTCATGAAATAAAGCATTCTCAATAGAACCCCCCCCCCCCTCAAGATGTTAATATGGGGTACGGGTATTTTGGTGACCAATCACCACCCGCAACATACCCTCCAACCCCCCTCCCCAACAAGAAGAGTAGTAAGTATAAGTCTTCCCCCTGAAAAAAAATATACATGTAGATAGAGGGGTACCATGTCATATTATGTTTGGGGTGAGGGCTCAGTATCAGGGAGGCTTACCCTAAACCCCCTCAGGCGAGCGGATTCTTTACCAGGCCTCACCAACCCGGCTGGCGAAAGCTTTCAGGGCGTCAGAGTCGACGTCCCAACTTAGCCCTGCACAGAATGCAGAACTTTGATAGAGCCCTAGTCTGAACTCCTCGTATCCCCCNNCCTATAGTAGTCCCCTATATAACTTTAAGGAGTTTTGACGATAGCTGATGTGGAAAGCTTTCTAGTAGGGTTGCACTACTTAAGCAGCTTGCTGGATGCTAGGCTCTATAAATTCAGGATGGGGATGGCCTTGGGGCGTCAGCGCCTGTGATGCTTGGTGAATATTGCGCTATGCCAGCATCTGAGTTGAGAATCGGAAAGTGATACGAAAAATCAATTAAAATGCGGGCAGAGGCTACAGAGATGGAACTGCAAGGCCTGCAATCGCGAGCCATCGTTGCAGCAAGCCTAGCTGATGGTACAACATTGGACTGCTGCAGTAGCAGCATCTGCCCTTCCGTGTGGTTTGCAGAGGCCATCAACTGCACCCCTACACAACTCAGCCTTTTCTTACAGTTCTTTTAGCCACTGGCATTTTATGTGCCTTGTGCACCACGTCCACGGAAACACTACCGCAATCACCATCGGTGGCGGTGTCGGTGGAGTTGCAGGTGCTATATTGGTACCGGCAGCAGCCGCAGCAGCAGGCTTAGTAGTTAGTACATGGCAGCAACATTCCCTATCCGAAGCCTCCCAGGAAAATCGTACGGCCATCTGGGGCTAGAGGTTGCCGGGCTTCGCCTTCAGCGCCGAAGCAACTGCGCATGCTCAGTCTGGAGCAAGCAGCCAAAAAGGAGTCATAGCAACCAATTTGACAATAAGGCTGCGGATCTCTGTATGCGCTATTGGGACAATGAACAGGCAAGCTTCACATCTACAACCACAAGCAGCCTGTCATCGCATCTCTGAGTATCTGCACAGAATCTCACATTCAATCCGTATTCAGTTGAACGAAGGCGTGAGCGGTGAAAGTGCTGCGTCATAATTGCTCGATAAACCCATAACGCATTGGGCTGAAGTCCATGTGAACCTGCATTCGCTTTCACAACTGTGTGCCCCCCGAAATGCAACCACCTTACGGACAAGGGTCCTTACATACGGGACGGGACCCTCAAGGCCTAGAACCCGATGGCCTGGTCGGCGGAGGGACAATCGACCCCCCTCCAGCTGCACACCCTCCAGCTCCTGCAGAGCCGCGAACTACTGCGCTCAGCCTCCACGTTGAAAGTTTTTTGCGCAGTTGTGAAAACTGATGCCCATGACAACGAGAAGGCAAATTCTGACAGTGATGCTGCTCAGCAATAAAGAAGTACGGTGGCATCAGCAAGGAAAAGAATCATCATGTCTGCTCGGTTCCAGCACTTTGGGTCCGGGTAACTCAGGTTGGAAGTGACAACACCTTTCCTGTGCCCTCTGACCTATGGAACACTCATCTGACCTATGGAACACTCATTAAGGGTCATGCGGCACCAAAGCTGCTAGAACACCTCATCTGGCAGCGGTCTCAATTTTTAATATGTTCTCAAGGTGAGTAGCCTACTGCCCTGAGAGCTCGTGTGTGCAGACATACCATTCCTCGCTGCTGCTTAAGGGGGAGTGGATCCCTGTAGTAATCCCTAGATAATCCCACATATACCCCCAAAATGGTATCTATATCCACTCCCCTACCCTAAGCCCTAAACCCTCCATTCACTCCCCCACTCCCCCTCAAGCAACAGTACAATTCCCGAAGCTGTCCCGCAGAGCTTTGTCCACGAGATCTGCGGAGGCCAACCTCTTAACTATAGGATCTAGTTACTGGGGGTTAGTAGGGAATAAGGTACGGTTGTATAGGGGCAATGGAAAAGAACATGGCAATTTCTACTACATTACAATAAGCTCTATATTAGTATTGATGGGGGATAAGGGTATATATAATATTAGGGTTTGGGGTTTAGAATCAGCAGGGAATAAGGGAATATGTCTAAAAAATGTTTCGGGCTCAGGGTCAGTATAGGGAATCAGGGAATACAACATATTAGGGTATATATCTATGTGGGGATTCTATTCCCTTATTTCGTAGTAACCACCAGTGAGCCATAGGATCTCTTCCTTTGACTTACTGGTGCTTAGTAGGGAAATAGGGGTATAACATACGGTTGTATGGGGACAATGGAAAAGAATATGGCAATTTCTACTACATCACAATAGGCTCCTTATTAGTGTTAGTAGGGGATATGAGATTCCTATGTTCCCTTCTTACCTGCTAACTCCCAGTAAGTTGACTGCACCATCACCCTTGTAGCATTGAAGAAAGTCCGTTATGCTAGGCAGTCTGGCAAGCGTTGGGCTAATCCGTGGGCCACATGCTGCCAGCGCGTGTCTCAGCAACACATATCCTCTTGGTGGCAGTGAAACCCTACTTGGAGGCTCAGGGGGAGCTAGTAAGTAGGTTAATAATGGGGATAACGAAGGTAATTATGCGGCTTATATGGGTTATTAGTATACTTACTAAGTCCCTCTGACCCTCCAAGTAAAAGGAACAGACTCGACGTCAAGGTTCTTCGAATTTGCAGTTTTTTGTGGCACTGGCTGGCGATGGAGCTTTATGGTGTTCAAAACCGTCTGGAAAGGAAATATTTCAGGGTAAAATGTCGTGGTCCTTCTGGCCTTCAACACCTCTGCGAGGGACCCCCCCTACACCCTAAACCCCGGACCCTCATCCAGAGTCAATCTGAGGACAGCGCTCAAGTTTTGCACTGCACTTGGATTCCCCGGTTTCATGGTCCTGGAAAACGTTGCAGTACACCACCTCAGCTTGGGTGACATGCCATCATCACGACTCAGCTACTGGGTGGCCCAAAAATGTTGACCGTTCGGCCACAGATGACGTTTTGAAATGTTGGTGTCAGACATTACGACTGCTGCTTTCTCGGTGGCATGCCTATTTAGTTTAAGGCAGTGCTAACACCGGGCGCTCAAAACACTATGTTGCTTTTCCCAAGAACTTCTTGTCACAGACATCAATTTCAGAGATCAGAAATTGAACTTCTCATGACTTTAGCAGGCTTGTTGGCCTGGATCCTGTTCTGTGAGGCACGGGATAACTGGAAACCTCCTATGGCAGTGGACTGAGTCCCCAGGAACCCCCCCAACTACCGGCCTTGAGAAAAAGCATGCTACCTGACAAAACCCCCCAGGAACAAATTGGAACGTGACAGTTCTTCCAGATGAGCACATGGAATCCTGAACGGGATCAGCGGAGTATGCAGATGGGGATTGCAACAGGGAAAGCTGTCTAGGCTTTGGAGATCTTTGGAGGATCTGGAAAGGGGCCGTGAAGGTTGGCATGGACATGGAATTGTTCCTCGTCATTCCTCAAGGGTACACCTTAGGCCTTCAGACATGCGGCAAAGAAGAGCTTTTTGCAACTTCGACAAGGGTGCTCTGTGGCACCATACGGTCATGGCACACTAGGACTGCCTGGGCTCGGGAAAGTGCCATAAATCCTGCCAGGAGGATCATGTGAGGTGGGCTCCTCTGCAGGTCCCAAAGCCCGAGCAGCTTCTAAGCTCTTCTGCGCACCATAAAGAGCTGCAAGCCCGGATGAGCAATGCAGGGCGAGAAGTGCGACTGCCCATAGCCGCAGGGCATCTACTTCCACTAACCTGTTGAAAACGGCTGCTGTGTAGAGCTCCACAGAGAAGCGATCTATGTACAGCCACCTGAACCCGACGATGGTCAAGAAAAGAAGGCTCCTACAGGCCATAGCAACGTAAGCACCACGAACTGACGTGTCCTTTGGGTCTTTGCCCAACAGCCATAAAGGCCCGCAAATACCCACTGCCATGTACTGCGAAAATGTTTTTTTTGGAAAGAGGGCTCCGGCAATTGCCGCGGACGTCAAAAGAAACATCATCGAGCCAGCAGCTTGCCGGAGGATGAAAGAACTGTCCCATTCCAGTTTTTGAATTCCCTCCTGGAGGTTGCGCAGAAACTGAGGTCCATGTGAATGAGACAACTCAGCCAGCATCTTGGGCATCTGCTTCTCGTAGTCCACTAGGCTGGACATGGCAAGGAACACCTTCTCGGCCAAGGGAAAGAGCTCCTTTACCAGCGTTCTAGCCACTTTGCCGAATTGGAGCGCTGCAGGTGCCACTGCAAATAGAAGCCATGTTCCTACAAGGCATGTCATGTCCAGCGTCGTGTGTATTGTTACCAGGCCCACATCTGCTCGCGACGTAATATGGCAGGTCTCGAGAACATGCTTGCGGATTGGGAGAAGGGCTGCCAAAAGCAGCACAAAAGTCTGGAGCACCTGTAACCTCCAGCCACGCTCGATGTACAGCTGGAAGTTGCCGAGGTTCATCGTCCAAGGTCGGCCTTGCAGATTCAGGTGAACATAAAAAGTCGTGGACGTGTGAAGCTCAGAATCATGCAGACAAAATGTGTGAGATGGATATGGTGCGGTGGTTATTTGGGTTCAAGACTCGGCCTGATTGCACGGCTGTGACACGTTGCTGTTCGCGACCCTGGAGAAATGCTTCTGTGGCTTTATCCAGAAAGCTCTCCCATGAATACAGTTTGCTGCCCCAATAACCTCTGAATCCAACCCAGCTTTCTTTTTTGTACTCCTTCAGGAAAGTCTGCAGGGCGGGCTTCAAACTGGCCTCTTGCTGCAAGAGTTGTTGCCTGATTTCTTGCCACAGCACAAAGTTCATGGCCAGGATGCTACCCGAGCCAATACTTCCGAGAGTACCATCTTCCTCCAAGCTTACAGGTCGTCCTGAAATCCAGTGTTGAGAACAGTCCTGGCTGAAAGGGAGAGTCATTTTCTGCCACTTTGAATCATGGCAGTGCAATGCGTCCCAAGCACTATGCTCCACTTGCAAAGCCAGCATTGCAATCTGCTTTCCCTTCTCCCCTTTTAGATCTGAAGGCACCTTTTCAGCGCTCCCGACTTGGAATTGCAGAATGTCTCGCACGCCCACGTTCAAGTCTCTGTGCAAGTCGTCTGCCCACTCTGACTTCTTGGCAAGCTCAGGAAAAGTTGAAACTGCCATTGCAGAAGCTGATGCTGCCCCTTGGCAGATCGGAATCTCAAAAACAGCTCGAGACGCAAGAACAAAGGTGATCATGGCCAGCGGGAGACTCCGCCAGATGGAATGCCGAATCTTGAGCTTTTCCCAGTCAGAGTTCGTTCTACCGCAGGCAATGCTCACCCCGTGAGCACACGCCAAGTAGGGAGTGTCCAAGTTCAACGCCGCAATGCAAGCGTTGACAGCTCTGCCTTGCTTGCGGTAATGATGGCAGCCCAATATGCTGGTTGCAGCTAGGCCCACGAGGAGCACTGCCAGCGGCGCAACGTCTCTAACATCGGCGTTAGGCCGTGTGCAAACGTTATAGCCAGCGCTGCAGATGACCATCCAGCATTTGAGCCACGCCCACATGAGCAGCAGGACTTCGAGAGAGCGCTGTGCCACTTCATGTGGTTTGATCGGTGGGTCCTCCTCTTTCTGAGTCCGGACCATGATATGAAAGCCGTAAGAAAGCGGCAAGGGCCTGCTCGGGGCCAAGGCCCCTCGATCATGTCTAGATCGTGAAAGCTTGAGGCGGATGCAGCACACAACGGCAAGTCTTGTCAAGGTAAATTGAGAAAAGCTTAACACGATTTTGACCTTTATCCTGCACACTGACTTCTAAAACCAAGTAGGAGGCAACTGCTGGCTTCATGCTGTTTGCTGTCTTCCAGAACCGAGGTGGCCCTTGGTGGTGTCAGCCTCTGTGGATAGGTTTCTTCCTGCGGCAGGATTGGTAGCTTTCAATACGAAGTCCGCCTATATATCCCCCTGTATCGTATAATCCCCATCACAAAAGACCTCCAGAAAGGGGCCCATGATATTGAGTGGGTCGACAGGGCATTGTACCAGAACACACCCCCAAATGGGACCCCAGTAACATGAAAGGAAGCCATTTTTGGAGGTTGCATGTAGATCAGTTCGAGAAATGTCCATACATCATCCAAGGATGCAGGATGCAAATTCTTCGGTGGCCGTCCCGTCATGCCCTCATAACCTTAAACCCTAAACCCTAAACCCTAAACCCTATCTGGGTCCGAATGGGGTACCTCCGTCTTTCAGAAACGCCCGGATGACTTGAGGCCCAAGCTCCATCGCCAAGACAGGCTTCGCAGAACTCACGCAGCAACTGCGTCAGCAACGAGAACCCCCAACAGCACGGCTTCAACGCGTGGGCTTTTAGTCATAGGGTCCTAAGGGGGCCTCCCCACATAACAAACCCCAAAATAAGGGACATGTAGGGACTATTAAGGCCTTATTCAAGGCTATTAAGTCTTATTTAAGGCTTATTTGGGGCTTATTTTGGGGGTTTAAATCTGGGGGGTCCCCCTTATAACCCTATCATTTAGTCCCCTACCCTTGAGAAGAATATGATTGGCCCTCTGATGATATCAGTTGCATCCTTTTTGGTGTCGGCAGCGCACTCAGCATATCTGAGTCTGCGAGGTAATTTTAAGGCCCCTCATGTTTTTGTTGTGAGCTGGTTCCCTTATACAACAATCAAAAATGCCAGCTAGTGATTTTTTTCTGGGGGGGCAACTTTGGTGGATTTAGAGGTTTGAGAGGCGCACGGTGTTGGTCGTGGCAAAGGGCCTCAGGTATCTACGGGGTATAGAGGATATCGTAGGGTTATCTAAGGATTTTGAATTTAAGGCAAATTTCAGGGAAGTAGACCAGCTGGAAGCCAGAGATTTTTGTATGTTGGTGTCTTTCCAACATGGGTTCTGATGGGCTTGGGCCCGGAACATGCAGCGGCTAGGTACCTGTGCCTTTTCTTACAAGTTGGCTCTTCCAAAAATCTGGGTCCTTTTTTTGGAAGCCCCTGTATGAAGGGGAAAAACATCTTGAAGTAACAAACCAATTTTTATCAAGAGCCCTATTAAGGGGACCCCAATATGGACCCCAAAATATTATCCTTGTTATTATGGGGACCCAAAATAAGGTACCCCTGAATGACTCGGCCTCATGGGCGGTCTTACAGGTTTACACTGGGCAGCATGGACAAAAACGTAGGGGATCACTTTCTGGCCTGACAGTTCGAAGAAGGTTCAAGGCACGTGTAGGATTCAAGCGATAATGAGATATGAGCTATAATCTAAACTCCCAGTATCACACTTAATAGCCCCTATAACACACCCCTATATAACCCCCTTTAAGGAGTTTAGACTATAGCTCATATGGACCATAAAGGAAGTCTGCAACAACTTTAATTTCAGCCACCTGACGGGCATATTACGAAACACTAGTGGCATTTACTTGATCTGGTTGTAACCTGGGTCGTCTACCTAGCCCTAGGTTTAAGGTTTAGGGGGAACCCTCAAAATCCTTGTACAATCAATCCCGGGTTCATCCAGTTTCGATGTCATCTTCTACAACTCTTCTCGTCCATCTTGTTTTTCATCTCGTTCTCCATCATTGATAGCTTATCCAAGCTCCTTAACCCTAAACCCTTTAACTACTTTAAACTCCAAACCCTGAAAGTACTTTAAAACTTAAACCCTGGAGCACTGCCCCGAGACCTCGGTCTGCGTTGTGGGGGCGAGGCCAGACACAAAAAGCTGGCGGCCACCTCAAACCAGTTTATAGCCCACCCCTCAAGTAGATAGAATATGTGGTATATGGGGATCTTATTATAATGTACCCCAAGCCATATTCTATCTACTTCAGGGGGACTACAAACCCTAAACCCTAACCCGATATAACCCCCATATCGGGCTTAGGGAACTTTAGGGTGTCGGGCTGGCAGTACTGTGCTTGCCGTTTGGGGCTTGGGGTGTAGGTTTGGAGCTTTGCCACTTGCATGACCGAAGCAGCGCAAGGAACGATCCGGGTTGAAGTTTCAAGCGGAAGGATGCAGGAGCGGGGTTTAGGTTTTAGGGGTTACTCTTCGGCCATTGTACTCTGTTTTGCGCATGATCAAATCTCCAACAGACATATCTCTCACCTAGCTGCCTGTAGCCTCTAGCCGCGCAAAAAGCATGCATCCGCCAAAATCCTAAACCTGACTGGTTGTGAGCAGAGAAAAAGGGGAGTCGATTGTAGATCGTAGGATGTTGTAAGACCGCTTAAAGCGTGCTGTGGAGATTCATTACTCCATTCCCCAGTAACCACCATGAAGAAACCCTCGCCAAGCCCCAAACTGTCCGGAGCTGGCAGCCCTGGTGGGGGTCTCATAACTCCGGACCTGAGCGGCTTTGTTATGGAGGGGTATATGGAGATCACACAAGGACTATACAGGGATATATAATGTGAGGACAAGTAAACATCATGTTGCAATATGGACATGTGCAAGACTTTGGCGGAAGTGCTGGGCTACGACCGGAACAATGAAAGGTCAACGACTTGCCAAGACTCAAGGAACACCTATGCAAACATGGATGAGGTTCGACATGCTGAAGCCGCGGCAGGTCTTTGGGGAAGCATACATATATATATATATATACATATATTCTATGTGTGTGTATATATGTGTCTTTCCTTTTTCCGATATGGTCGTCCAATCATAGACCCCCGAATATCATGAACTATAGGAAGGGGCTCCTTCCTCTCAGCAGAATCAAGAGACCTGTAGGATATGGCCGCTTTGTCAGACCGGCGCGAAAAAACTTGGTTGAGGGAAGTTAGTGGAAAACGCGTACATGATCTGCGAAGTGCGGCCCTCTTTGCCAATTTCTCTGCATCAGCAGCTCAGTTCAAATTGAAAGGGAATGCGCTTGCTTAAGGAACAGTGCATGACTGGATCCCTAAACCCAAATCCTGTAATCCTGTATGCCCCAAACCCTAAACTCCTCAGGCACCTGTGAGTCTGAGGTCGTCGCCTCTCAGGCGGTCGGGCCTCCATGATCTTCACCTTAGAGGTGGAAGCGAGTTTTAGGGTTTAGAGTTTAGGGCTTTACGACTTTGCACATGCCACTACATGTAAGTATATGTGTATGTATATATATATATATGTGCCCCAGTTGACCTTTGGTTTCTTTGCTGCGTCTATGTTTTGGAAGTGGCTTTAGTTTGGGAAGTTGACTTCAAACTTGCTGGCCCTAAAATGCATAGGATGTGTTTCATGTTTCTTGTGCATCCACGCCTATTAAGCATTCTGAGCTCTTTGAGGAAATCATAGAAAACACAGTTTCCATGGTCTTGGGAACTATGAGGCTGGGGGCCTGAGATCCAACACATGAATTACAACTTAAAGCTCATGGCAGAACGTTGGCTTTACCAGCTTTCCACAGTTTCCATGATTTTTAAGATTAGGGGTCCGAAAGCGTGCTATCTCTCCAAGACCATGGAAACTTTGGGAAACATTAGATAAAGCCATGTTTGGTCAAACAAATGTTTCCACGATTTCTACCCCAAAAGTCATGGAAAACATAGGTGTTGCCACCTTCTCCCATGATGTCCTGGTTTCTGAGAACTTGAGCCGAGGTTTCAGGTCTTGTTAAACCGGCGGATGCGTTGCAAAACATTGTGTTTTTGTATCTGGCATTGATGGCCTAGGGGCCTTCTATATGTACATACTCAAAACCACTATTGAATATTCATTTCAACTAGACTTAGGGGCAGGCTTGATCTCAATACGTCTAAAACATGCAATCAGATAGATGAAGTTCCATTTCGACAGTGTGTATCAATGATTTCCTCCCTGCTCATGCTTTCTGAAATCTGCATAACAACTTGTAACCCTAAACCCTGAACCCATAAACCCTAAACCCCCGAATCCTTAGTTTTACATAGCCCCTTTTTTCCCTTTGAGCAGGATGTAATCTGGAGGAAATTTACTTAGAATTGATTATACTCTTGATGTCCTAGACCTTTGTTGTGTTGAAAGAAAAGAGTTTTCCTGAGGAAATGATGCACCAGAATCTTGGAGAGACCTACAAGGACTAGGGGGTATCCTCGATTACTTGCAACTTCTTTGCTTTTGAAATTAATGTCTATGACGTAAAGGGTAAAGTGAAAGAATCAAAGCGTAAATATATTCCCCCTTG